AGAGATGGTAGAAGGAAATCCCCCTTATTTGCTTGGTCAGCCTCCCAAGAGATGCTCAGACTTCTGGTTCCCATTTGCTAATGGGGGGACAGTAGAAGGGGAGGAGGGGAAGTGGGATGTTTGACTCTAGGCTGTGCACCAGTAGGTTCACTATTGCTTAGCAGGGAGGCAGGCTGGTTGCTTGGTTTCCCGGCATCCTAGGTTCCAACATGGTGTAGGTCTCAAAAGACACTGGTGGTTCTTTCCCTGGAGGGGCCGTAGTCTGCCGCACTGCAGCCACTTACCAGGGAGGGGAGCTGCTTGCTTGGCTTCCCGGGGTCCTAAGTTCCAGCATGGCATGGATCTCAGGAGACACTGGTGGTTCTCCCCCCGGAAGGGCCACCCAGCTGTGGATTAAGGTGGACACAGCAGGATAAAAGGTGCTCATCAGATGAGCACTTGGAGCCAGATAGCCAGGCATGGTGGTGCACTCAGGAGGCTGAGGCAGGAGGGCTGCTGTGAGTTCAAGCCCAGCCTGAACTCCATAGTGCGATTATTTCAAAAAAATTAAATGAATCAAAGGAAAGAAAACCCCCAAACCAGACAAGCATGCAGAACAGGCCGACGCTGCCCACCATTTGCAGGGCTGGAAGGGGAGGGCTTCCTGCACTGGATGGGCCTTTCGTTTGAGCTGTGACCATCATTGGCTCCTGGTTCTGGTGGCCAGCCTGAGCTGGCACTCCGCACCTCTCCCCAGGGTACGGTGTTGTCCTGCTCTTCATGGGCTCAAGCATCTCCTTTCCTATCTCATTTCTGTTGTGAGAGAGCTTTTAGAGTTATTTTTACTGTGAAAGAAAGAACAGTCACAGCTCCAGTGTGCCTGTGGCTGGCTTCAAGCATTCTTTACTGCCCTGCTGTGTCCACTTTCAAACAGACTATGCTGTGCTTTTTACAACCTAGGTGCAGCCAGGTGTGTGATGCATACCTGTAGTTCCAGCTGCTTGGGAGGCTGAGGCAGGAGGATTGCAAGTTCAAGTCTAGCCTTGATGACTTAGTGAGCATCTGTCTCAAAATTTAAGAAGTTTAAAAAGAGGCTGAGATGGAATTTTTGCAAGGCCTGGGGTTCAATACCCAGGCCTACAAAAACCAAAATGTAAATCTCACTGTGGAAGCCAAGTTCTCCTCATGGTTGGGCATCATACTCGGTCCCCCTCAAACTGTGCCCCACCCCCGTGCCACTGAGGGCCCTTTAACCACTTCTTGTAGCCCTAGTGCTGGCATCTGAGTGCCTCTGCACACCCCAGGCTGGGAAGGCCACACCGTGGGGCTCCTGAGGGCCCTGCATCCTCCTAGCTTCGGGCTCAGCTCCCCAAAGCTCGCTTCTTAAAGCTGAGGCCCTGTCATCCTGGTGGTTGCCATGCAGTGAAATTCCAGGGACCCCCTTCCTGGACATACACTGGACCAGGTGCAAGGTCCTAACCATCTTTGTTTTTTAAATTTATTTTTTATGAGCCCATGTTTGCAGTCCTGTTTACAGTCACCGTAGGGAGGTACTTTATGTACATAACACATCTTGATGCTGTTTGTGCCCCCTGCCCCTCTCTTTCTTTTTTTCATTCTGGGAATTGAACTCAGGACCTCGCACCTGGCAGGTAGGCGCTGTGCCATCTCTTGGTTCTCTTCCCTTTTGCAAAAGATCTAGCTCACTTACTTCCTCTTATCTTTCATTGTGCTCTTGGCTTATACTGTGGACTTCCCAGAGGAAAGAAACTGATATTTAAGCCTACGTGACTGATTTATTTCACATCGCCTCATGGTCCCATGTGCACCCGTTTTCCCACAGATGACTCTAGTTTATCTTCATGGCAGAGTAGCGCTCCCTATGTACCTATTAATCCATCCATTCATCTGCAGACATTCATTTTGCTTTCTGAAGCACAGTGGTGACATGTGGCTTCTCCTGTGAAGTGTCTGCTCATTTCTCTTGCCCTGTTTCTGACTGGGCCTTTTATTTTGGGAGGATCTAACATTTTGAAAGTTTTATACATTCTAGATATTGGGCCTTTGTCTGAGGAGTAGCTGGCAAATTACTGCCATTCTGTAAGTGGCCTGACCACCTCTGAACGCATGGCCAGGTGCCTGGCAGCTAGAAAGAGGAGGCATTTGATACAGGGGCCCCTTCCAGGCCTGCTGTCACTGTCAGTCCTCCTGAGCCCTTGGGGATAAAATTGAGCGCAGTGAAGGAGGGGCCCAGGAGAACCCGCACAGGTGTAGTGCCCGCCCCGCATGCCCAGCAAGCTCTTCCGGAGTCCTGTGAGACGGCCCTTCGGATGTGAACCCAGCCTTGCAGACAAGTCACGTTCATGCGTCCTGTGTGTCAGCTAAGAATGCTCACTCATTGCAGAGCTGAAATATTTCCCGTGCTGCCTGTGGCAGACAGTTAGCTGCCCCTGCTCTATGAGGCCACCAGTCCCCCCCAGCCCCACATCTCAGCGGGGAGTAGGCAATGCAGTGTCAAATGCAAACCTCCGCTTGCTGCCATATTTGAAGCCCAGGCCGGGGTGGACTTCTTGGGAGCACTGAGATTTAACTCCTGCCTAGCTTTGGAGTCAGGAGACAGGCAGAGACCACACATCAGTGAAAACAAAGCTGCAGGGCATGTGATCCCAGTACTTCGGAGGCTGTGGCAGGAGGGTCACTGTGAGTTTGAGGCCAGCCTGAACTCACAGTGAGACCCTGACTCAAAAACGAACAAACAAACAAATGAAACAAAAATAGCACCCATGCTTGCAGCAGAATTTGAAAGGCTGGTTTCCTGTCTTCGACTCTCCAGCTCATGGACACATCAGGTGGTGGTGTAGTCAGGGATTGCAAGTAGAACAAGACAATATAGGACACATCATTTATATTATTTTATGATAGTCACCCAAGGAGTTGAATTCAAAGAAAGTACAGGAACTCTGTCTACACTGTGGGCCTGGATCCCACAGCAATGCCCTGCATGAGTCCAGCTGAAGACCTAAATAAAGCCCAAGACAATGCCTCCCACGAGTCCAACTGGAGGGCTAGAGCCCACAATGCAAGTCTGTATTATGGATCTGTGCTAGGAAGGCCCAAAAGTCAGTGGTGGAAACTAGAAAGTCTGTGCCAGTGGGGTGAAGGAGCTGTGCCAGCAAGTTGAGGGTTCTGCACTGGAGCCAAGAAGTGATGCTCAAAATAAGGGCCTGGGTGTTCCCCCAAAGCAGCACAGCCATCAGGGACAATGAGGTCCTGAGCTCTTCCAACAATGAGAACAGCTGAGTACATGCCAGGAAGCCAGCATAACAACTTCTCCTGGAGATCAAACAGCATGTCTTCCCTTCTGGAGTCAGGAAGCAATGCTCAACGTAAGGACCAGGGCTCCCCCAAAGCGAACCACAGCCACTCTCAGCAACAAGGTCCTGAGCTCCTCTGATGATAGCTGAATTCATATCAGGGGAGCCAGCTGACGAGCTCCCCCAGGAGAACCAACAGCTCCAAACAAGACTTAGGAGAACCCACAATGCCTAGCTCTTCCTCTCCATGTCTCTACACTGGAAACTTCCCTCAGCTGGCCATCTACACTCAGTACCATGCTGATTCAACACCGGTGCTAGGTTAACCACCAGTTACCAATCCACTATAGGTGGGAACCTGTCCTAGACACAGGCTGCTCCTGTCCAAGGAGATCTGCACCAGGGACGAGGGCCAATGTCCAAAGATGCCAGATTCGGGTGACAGAAAAACAACACACAGGTAAAACGATGATCTTACTTGTCATGTGTGTTACACTGGCGTAAAATCCCAGCAGAACAAATGCAATGCCAACACTCACACTGTGATAAATCAGACCAGTTTCTGGAAATCCATCTTAAGGCAGACAGTTCAGGCACAGACCTCACCAAAACCCAGGTGACCCGGACCTATTCCTACTTACCTCCACCCTGCACTGCTATGGCCCATGAGGACTTCCCAGATCTCAGGGCCAGCACAGGACACATGAGCAGCTGCGGTGGGCACACATCCCCTCCACCCTGGCCAGCCACCAGGAGAGGCGGGCAGTGTGGGATGCCACGGGCATTTGGTAATCTCAGGACTCCACTTCCTTCCTTGTTAGTAGCAACACTAACAGTGCGCTTAGAAGGGGCTGGCTGAGCTGCTAAGCCTCTCGGGAGGTTGGAGGTGAGGCTGAGGAGCGCCGTGCTGGTTTCCAGTGCTGTTTTCCATCTGGAATTCTAGGGCTAAGCCTCGGACATGTAGGATTACGGAAACATGAACCCAAGCTCCCCAATGCGCTGTACTGAGTTGGCTGGGGGTGGACAGGAGGCTGAGGACCAGAATGCAAATGAAAAAACCCTGAACGTGGCCCGGAACAAGGCCCTGAAGGAAAGCAAAGCAGAACAGGCGCACAGACTTCCCACACCCTCAGCCCTGGCTCGCTGCTTCCAGTGGCAGGGATGCACATCTCCCCTGGCCCCACAGGTGTTGGTGCCAAGGCTCCAGGTGACAGGCGCTCCCCTGGTCCCACAAGCACAGCCAGGTTCCCACTGGTGGTGCTTCCTGGCCGCCCAGAAGCCAACCCAGGCCCCCTGGGGACACAGCTGTCCTGAACAACACAGAACATTAAGCTGTGCTCACCTCGACACTCAAAAACTTCCTAATCGAACACCTGAAGAAGCCAGCCTGCTCTTTTTCTGATAAAATCCTCTAACGCCATAATTTCTGTGCAACTCTGTGGTCATGATGAGCAAAGCTCCCACTCCCAATCCAGCAAAGTGACCACAGAAAGCACCATGCTAGCAACACCTGCCCTCAGCCAGCCCTGACCTCGTGCCCACTGGAGGCTTTCTGTGTGGCACTGAGGTCAAGGACTTGCCTGTGGGCTACTGCCTTGATCCCCACGCAGCTCCTCAGGGTGCACTGTCTGAGTGGGCACTCAGCACACGGATGTGATTCACTGCTTGCCAGGGGTGCGAGGAAAGTCAGACACAGGTGAGACACCGTAATATTGGAACAATTTTATTTATTTTTTAATCTTCATTTTTTTGGTTGTTTGAAACAGAATCTCGCTATGTAGTTCAGGGTTGACCCTGAACGCACTACGTTGTCCTGAATGGCCCGGAACTCGGGGTGACCCTCCTGCCTCAGCCCGGAGCACAAGGATTACAGGTGTGTGAGATCAGGCCCCCTTGGAGTGATCGAGTTCTGCAGGCGGAGAGAGGCTGAGGTGTTCAGTGCCTCGGGGACTCCCGACCTGACGAGGGCTGGGGCAGCCTGAACTTGGAGAGGTTCAGGTTCAGGTCCAGAAAGGTGTATGTGTTGTAGTCATGGTGCTGCAGGTTCTTATAGGTGGTGTTGTCGTATGGCTCGGCAGACTCTGCAGAGGGGACAGTGACAGAGAGAGTTCTTTTAGAGACCCGCACACACACCCCTCTGCCCCCACTCCTTCCCCAGCGATGCCCACATTCTGACTTCCAGCCTAACTAGGAAAGAGAGCCCAGGAAAGCCACCACAGCTGCAGGAGCAAAACAAAGGCGTTAGTGGCACATTACTCCAAACTTACGGCCCCAAGGACTAAGTAAGCGAGTATGTGGCCACAGGGTCGGGGCACGGCTGCCACAGAACTCTGCGGAACTCTCCCCCAGCCCTGCCCTGGCCCTGTGAGGTCCCGAGTGCACCCCAGCTTCTACTCTGTTCCGGTGATGGAAGGTGGACACTCTCACCTCCCATCCTTGAAAGCTGAGAACACCTGGGGACTCTCATGCAAGGCCTTGCAGGTGCAGAAAGCCTCCCGGGCAGGGTGCTCTCCAGCATGGGCCACAGAGGAGCCGTCTGCAGAAGCGCTGTCTCAGGCAGGAGCTAAGCAAGCCTCCGTCTCCAGCACTGGGAGAGGTGGTAAGAGCGGCAGCACAGGGAAGGGAGTCAGAAATGGGACGCACAGTTTCTGCTATTTTAACTTTTTTTTTTTTAAATTGCTGTCTTCAGATTCACAGACAAAAATACTAATTTCATTTTTCTTTCAATGGAAAAAAATAAAAGCCACGTACTCAAGCACTTGGTGGTCTTAAAATGTGGGTCGAAGCCAAAGGAACCCTGCTGTGTGATGTGTGACATGTGGCCTGTGATAGGCCAAGCGGCAAGGAAAGCACACGGCACAGCTGAGATCTAGTCAGGGTCCTGCAGACCCCACCTTCTGGACACGGGGCTTGGGCTGTCCCAGAGCCCACTCAGACTGCATGGAAACTACTTCAGCACTCTCCATGCTTCCCATCAAAACCAAGAGCCCTCCTCTTCCTATCTGGTCATCTTAGACAGAAACCTGCAGACGCCGTGCCCACCCTTGAGCACTGAAGGGCTGGTGCATTCCTGCAGTGGCCTGCAGGCCACCCCCACCCACCCACCCGCAGGCTGCACTGCGGGGTCTTCCTCGGCCTTCCAGAGCACAGACAGCGCCAACAAGCAACACAGGTATCTCCTGCCTTCTGAGGCGCTGGCTGGGGATGGATCTCAGGCCTTGCTCACACTCAGCTCCTCCCCAACCTCAAAAGCTTCCTCCTCCAGAGAGGCCTGCGACCTGATTGCCTCAAGCCCTGTGCCTTCCTCCCAAGGGCCCTGGCATGTGCCCGCCTGAGAGAAGGGCAGAAACTGACAGCACAGAGAAGAAGCCTGGCAACTTAGCATCTTAAGGAAAGACAGAGCAAATGGCAGGAGAAGGAAGCACATACATCCTGTCAGCACCCGACAACGCATCCAGTAACACAAATCAGGCTGAAACGAGGCTTCAGAAGAAATGAGAACCTGCATGTGGTGGTTCACTCTGTATCCCAGCACTCGGAAGGCTGAGATAGGAGGACCCTGAGTTAAAGCCAGCCTGGGAGACACAGCAAGGCCCTATCTCTAAAAACAAACAAACTAACAAACAAAAGAATGCAGCGTGGGCCGAAGGAAGAAGAAGCTTTGTTAGTGATGAAGCATTTTAAGGAAGTTCGGAGGGGCCAGACTCTAAAACTGAAGGTCTCCATTGATGTCTGCCTATGACCCAGCTGGAGCACCTGAGGAAGCGAAGCAGACCAGGAATGTGGTAAAGAGGCCCTTCGGGAAATTCCTTCTGGAGAGCTGCAGCTGCCCACTGTGTCCAGGCAAATCACAGCAGGACATGCTCTGCTTCAGTCCCACCTCGTGGACTTTGGCTCCTGGACCAGGGTGCTCAGAGTGGTCACCCGAGGGCTGCCCTTCTAGGCTGGGCCTCCCCCTCCTTTACGAATACACAGGCAGCCAAGAAGGTGGAGCAGCGATGTCAAACTGCCAATTTCCAAAAATGCAACTAAGTCAGGCATGGTGGCCATGCCTGTGATACCAGAACTTGGGAGACTGAAGCAGGAGGACTGTTGTGAGTTGAAGACCAGCTTAGACTACATAGTGAGACCCTGTCTCAAAACACCAAGACAAACAAAACGCCATCAGAATTATACTGGTTAAGAGCACTCAAGTGGACCAAGGATATATACTTCCATTCCAAAAGAAGTGGAGACTATCTTAGGGTTTGTGGGTACAGAGGTGTCCCGTCAAGAGCTGAGATATGCTCTGTTCAGCTGGGACAGCCTTAGCAGCTGCTTCCGGTCCATGGTCCAGTCATGGTCATGTTTCTTTCTAAGCACATGGGAACTCAAAGCTTTCTTAGGGCCTAGCTGCCACCCAGGGACAGGAGGAATGGATGAGGTGAGATGTACCCTGTGTGTCGCCCAGGGCCTCCAGAGGCGGGGCTGCACCCTCCGTGGGCTTCAGGCCTGTGGTCTGCGCCTCTTCTTTCTGCACAGGGGCTGGCTTCAGACTTCTCAGGGTCCCCTGATCTTCTGGGGTCTCCTGCTTGGCCTCTGAGTGTCCTCCTCCAACCTGCTTCCCAGCTATTTCTTGTTGGGCGCAAGGAGGAGCCGGCCTCCTGCCAGGCTGTGGTACTTGGGGCCCAGGTCCAGCAACCTTCTGGGTTCCTGGTGCGGGGAATGGGTTACCTCCTGCCTGCGTGGACAACTTGGCCTCTGCACGGTCAAGTGAGATTCCTTCCGCTCCCGGGGGCTCCGGGCTTTCTTTCACCAGTTCATTTGGCCTGCGTGTTTTCTGTGATTTCTTTTCCTTTGCACCCTGCTTCAAAACAGCTCCCTCAGCTTGGGACCTGGGTGTTATGCGTTCGGGAATGGCCTCTTCTCTGCCCTCTAAAGGCTTGGTGGGGCTCTTCCTTTTCTTCTCCAGCTGAGAGGCCCTCTCTGGGGTGGTGACATCTGCATGTGGCTTCTGCCCCTTGCTCTTCTCTTTTGCAGATGCTGTGACTCTGGGGGTTCTGTTCTCAGAGGGCCTGGTGGCCTCTGGGCTTGGAGAGCCTCCCTGGCTTTTGCGCCCCTCTCGGGGACCAGCTTCCAGGACATCCCTCTCCTCGTCAGATTCGGACTCTGAGGAGCTGGATGAGGAGGAGGACGACTCATCTGTCACCTTGTGGGTATCTTGATGAGCCTCTGCGCCCCCACCCTGCGCTCTGAGTGGAGCTGGAACCTTCTGAGGAAACACTACCAAAGTCTTTGTTGCCAAAGCTTTCGAGAGCCCTTCCTCTGTGAACAGCTTAGTGCCAGCTGCCACCCTGCTTCTGCTCCCAGGGGCTGGGGAGGAAGCTCGCGGAGACGAGCTTGGGGGTGCCGCAGCTTCGGGGTAGGTGGTTAGTAGCTTGCCCCTCTCCTTTGGTTCCTCTACATCTGGGAAACGGCATAAAGAGGGACATTATTTGCAAAACTTCATTAAACAACTTCAAATCATTAGACATGTCACTGACGGTGCGCTGCATACCAATGTATTACTTATAGTCTTCAAAACAAGACACCTGAGACAGCTTCTGGGGACACCTCTCCCGAGCGAATGCCAAGCCACATGTGTGGAGAGGCGGTGAAAAGTGGAGACATTCTCCTTTATAGTTGAAGACTTTAAAGATAGAAGTTTTTTAACCAATAGCACCTTGGCACTTGGGAGGCTGAGGCAGGATGACTGCCTTGAGTTCAAGGCCTACATAGCAAGATCTTGTCTCAAAAACAAAAGAAACCAGAAGTGACACATTTGCCTCTATCAATGATGGTTTCATGGATAATAATTTTTAAAAACTATTTCACCAAGTTCAGGATAAACTAAAATAGGTATTTTCTGGTAACTACTGAAATTTTATAGTTGTATAATTTACTGAAGTCCTAAAATTATCCATCTGGTACCTTTCAAGTTTTAAACAGGTTCAGGGGTTGCCTGGTAGACCCCCAAAAGCCTGGATTGGGCCTGAGGTATGCACAGGTGTGTATGCAAGAGAGGGAGGGCAATGCAGTTCCAGGAAAGGAAGAAAAGTCTTGCTCACTGGTGATTTCTTCAGTCAAAAGAACTAAAGTACTGCAATATCAAAAAGGTCCAGAATAAAAAATGTCCTATATATCATTGGAAAAACACTTTAAAATGAAAAAAAAATTTTTTTTAAAGTGCTAATATCCTTTTTTGAGACAGTGTTTCACTGTGTAACCCTTAACCTTATTATGGGGCCTTGATCTCCCAGCAATCCTCCTGGCTCAGCCTCCTACATGCTGGGATTACAAATGTGCACCAGCACACTTGGTTCATCTTAATATTCCATAATCACTTATGAAAAAATGAAATAATATATTGATCAGAGTCAATTTCATTACATTTTCTCAGGTGGCAATAAATGGTCTAACCATACCATAAGAAGAAAAAGTTTTTTTTTAAAATAAATTCAACTACATCCAAACCTGAAGCAACAGTTGAAAGTTGAAAGTGTAACAGACAAATAGATGTTACAGTCTGTTTGTATCACAGAACATCTGGAGATAAAACTCGCCTTCTAGCTGGCCACCCTGCAGCACCACACAGAAGGCCGAGTGTTTTCTGAGACTGGGGACCCACGACTGATGGGAGGCAGCTGAAGCTCATCAGAAGCGGCCCAAGGTGGACATGCACTGCGAGAAGCCCTGACAGAGGAGCCTCAGCAGCAGGTGACCGCTGGACCTGCTCGGCCTGGAACCCACGCTGAGCTGCTGGGGCAGTTCCTGGGCACAGTGAATGGGATGCAGGGCACAGGCATGGGTCTCTGTCCCTGACCAGTGCCGCTCGGCTCAGAAAGGCCTACAGCCAGCAGAAGAGTCGAGGCCTTCAGAGCCCGCAGCCTAGCCATCAGTGATCGCCTTTATTTTGAGCATGGACCCTCCAAGGTGGAAAAGTTCTTCAAAATAAGCCTGTCTTCTTCTTTTCTTTTTTTTTTTTTTGTACTGGGAATCAAACTCAGGCCTCACACTTGCCAGGCAGCACTGTACTGCTGAGCTACCTATCCCTACCCCCTAAAATAAGGCTACCTTAAAGGACTACTTTTTTTTTTTTAATTTTTCTTTTAAAAAAGAAAAAAACAATAAAAACAAAGATACTCAATTTTTTTTGGCTTTTTCATTTTTTATCGGTACCAGGGATTGAACTCACGACTGCCTGCTTGCAAGGCAGGTGCTTATGCTGCTGAGCTAAATCCCCAGCCCCCAAAGATACTCAATTTCAAAAACAAGTAGGAAACTGACAATGGTTAATATATTATGTATTGTTATCTTCAAAGCAGGTGCTCATAAAGGACCTGCTTTGGATAGAAAAATGGTAAGGAATGAATCTTTTGAAATTTGTTTTTATTTTTAATTATTATTGTTGCAGTGTTAGGGATACAAAATAGAAAGAAAGTTTCAGCAGTGATTGGCAATGAGGTGTTACAAATTTTGTTTGGAATGGAAATTATGTATCCTATAATAAGTTCCTTGTTCAGGCTAGGTACTGGGGCAGTCCTAGGGAAGGGCAAACAGCTCACAGCAAACCTGCTTCTGCCTCTCTGGCCCTCTTTGTGGCTCAGGAAGAAGCCTGCTGGGCTGATCTGCTGCTGCTGCCTCTAAAACGCACCAAACCCAGTGTCCACACGGCATCTGTGCTCAGCAGTGCAGGAGACGGCACCCAGAAGATTACACCACACCACAGGAAACTGCCTGCCCTGAGTGCAAGAACCTCACCGCTAGTTCTCAGCTACCTCGAGAGTCAAGAGTTTCAGCCGGACACTGCTTTCTTTGAGAGACAAGGCAACAGAACACCTAGGGGCCACGATCAGACTACTCGCCATGCAGGACTCCCTCAATGTAGTGACCGACTTTCAGGAGGTCCCAGCCCTCACCTGAGACCACACCGCCTTTGCAAAAGGCAGGCCTCTGAATACGAGGTCTCCGTACTGCCTCTGTCTTCTCTCCAAGCAGAACTTACATCTTCCGATTTTCTTTCTGGCTTGGCTTTTTGCATGATCTTCGTTTTTCCCAATAGAAAACATGACTGCAACCTTAGAACTACTAGCCTTGGTAATGTCACAAAACTAACCCAGGGATCAAAGCGCAAAGACGACACAGGGTACAGTTACACTTTACAGAATAATTAGATGGCATTTGACTGTGACTCTCTTTGTTAAATGAATGCACAAAAACTGTGACTTTTCAGAGGCAAGAAAGGATAGTGATTTAAACGTGGGCTGTGGCTGAAACGCCTGGGTTCAAAGCTGGATTCCCTGCTGCCCCTTGGGACACTTTGGCCACGGGATAAGGGCCACAAGCTCAGTCTGCAGCAGCAGAGGACAATACACAGGACATGCTCAGTGCAGCCAGCGGTGTGACAGCTGTCACGAAACACAGCAAACTGTTTGCAGAGACTCCTCACTTTTAAATCTGACATGGGGCTTGAACTAGAAAATTAACTTTGGCTTCTCAACATACTCCTTAAAGAGCTGCAGGAAATCACTCCATCCACAGCTCAGCACTGGTGTGCAGTGCCCAAAACACAGGTTTTCACAGACGGTCAGTACTGAACAGCTGCAATGGGCCCAGAACATAGTCAACGCTCGGTAACAAGGAACAGAACATAAAATTACTCCCAAGAGAGAAATATTTAAATATTCTGTCCCATGTCCTATTTTCCTGCGATGAGGACAGGCTATTTTCACATTTAGGCAGGAAAAAAAACTAGTGATAAAAGTCAAAATGACCGTGTAAAGAGCTGGAAACAGATCAGGCACCATGCATCAGCAAAATGAGTCACAGGAGAAAACTGTCCAATTTTAATGCTCTCCGGAGTCCTACAACAATGCCTGCAATCTTGGGCAGATGGAGGAAAGCCAGGGAGACCACAACTGGAGCTTGGAGAGGACAACGGCCAATAGGGAAGAGGGTCCCACTGCCTCAGGCTATCGAGGGACCTGGAGGGCCAAGAACAGACACAGGACCTTCACTCAGGACCACCCGCTTCCTGTTGGCCTGACACTTGGAAAACACTAAAACAAACAGCACTATCATGAGCCAAAGACTATGACTGTGTGTGTCTGGTGTGACATCTGCCACCAATCTTATGTCTCACTAGCATCCTGACCCTGCAAAGACGAAGAGCCAGACATCTTGTAGCTGGTAAAACATATTTTCATGCTTGAGAGGTTGAACTCTTTATCATGCATTCTTTGTCCCTCATTCAGTGTCCCACCACTGAAATCTTACTTTTTGGTGGACTTTGTTTCCTGGGATTTGCTGGCAGTTCCTTTTCATTCTTCCCTGATTGTGCAGAGCGAGAAACTGTAGAAGCAGGTCCTCGAAATACTGGCACTTCCAGGAGCACCGTCTGATGACAGAGTTAGCAAACATGTGCATTTAGAGTATTATAACAGCTACTGCTCCATACAAACACCATGTATCACACCACCTGTGAGTGCTCATGTGTCTTAAAGAGACTATTACAATTTTCATAACAAGAGCATATTATGGAATTTTTGCAAAATACAAAAAGTTGCAAAAAAAAAAAAAAAGGCAACTGCTATGAACATGTGGATCAATGAAAGATGTTCTATGCCTATTTTCTAGCCTCCTTTCAAACTACAAGATACTGTTTCTTGGGGGCTGGGGATTTAGCTCAGCAGCATAAGCGCCTGCCTTACAAGCAGGCAGTCGTGAGTTCGATCCCTGGTACCCATAAAAAGGAAAAAGACAAAAAAGATACTGTTTCTTTTAGTAACAGAAATACAGCCATTAAAAGTTACAGAAATGTTTCTTAAGTAGTTAAAATTTAAGCAAAAAAAAAAAAAAAACCCCAAAAAACAACATTTAATATATTGATTCACTCAGCTCATAATCACCAAGGCCTCCTTCCCCTAGATTCAGGTAGTACAGCGCTTTAGGTGCAACAAAAAAGAAAAATGTGCAAACATTTTATATACATAAAGCTCCACAAAATCGTTGGGAACTACACACTGAAGGAATAAAGAGTGGATAGCGGGCAGTGGCTTCCCTCTCTCACACTTTAAATTGTTCTGTAGTACAGTACTGCTTTTAGGAGCATTTGCGTGTGTGTGTTAACTGGTGGAGTGCACATGTGTGCGGAGCTGGGTACATTCAACACAAAATTCTCTTAAAAAGGTTAAGAGGCTAAATATTTTTTGGCGTTTTTGCTTTTGTAGCAAGAACCATCTTTTTAAAATATTTATTTATTTATTTATTGTCTTGAGACAAGGTCTCCATACGCACTTCACACTGCCCTTGAGATCACTTTGTAGCCCACAATGGTCTTGAACTCGCAAGGATCCTCCTGCCTCAGCCTCCTGGGTATTGGGTATTAGAGGCATGAGCGACCATGCCAGGCTCATTTTTTTTTTTTTTTTATTGGTACCGGGGATCGAACTCGCGACTGCGCACTTGCAAGGCAGGCGCTTATGCCGCTGAGCCCAATCCCCAGCCCTGACCCGCTCATTTTTTAAAAATGTTAAACTTGCCAGTTGGCCCCACAAAGGGGCGTAGAGAGGCCACGCCCCTTTTCCCGGGCCAGCTTAATGCCTGGTCATCCCATAAGTCGCCGGGTCACAGGTCCCTAAAGCCCCTTCGTTTCACTAGCCTGCCTGCAGCTGAGGAGCAGCGGGACTTGTGCGGCAGAGTCCGGCTTCACGCTAAGAAAGTCCTTCAGGAAGCTGCGCGCTGACAGGTGTCACGCCGGACACTCAGCGCCCCCCGGCGGGTTACCCGGGACCTTCCGCCGCGCAGGTGACCTCGCGCGGGCGGTAGAGGGGACGCTCTCTGGCACCATGCTGGCCTCGCTGCGCGCGGCTCGGCGGGCGCCGCTCCCTCACCCCGGCCTCCCACGGCCTCCATCAGTTCCTTCTTTACCTTCAGCGCCTCAGCTGGCCCCCGCCGCAGCAGAAGCCGAACCGCCATAGCGCAGATTAGGGAGAGCGGACGTCGCTTTAGGGACGCGCCCTGCGCGCCTACGCCGCCCGAGGACCCGCCCCTGCGGCAGCATCCGCCAATCACAGACTAGCAGGGCCAGGGCGGAGCCAAAAGGCCTGCGCGCGCATCCTCAGCAGGTTCCTTGCTCCCGGAGCTCCGCCTTGAAACCACGCCCTCAAGCAGAGGTCTCCAATCACCGAGAGGAGCGAGAAGCCCCGCCTCCATATTTTGACCTTGGGAGGGGCGGGGCGCCTGCTTGCTGCTCTTGGGGCCACCAGAAGTCTAGAATCCACGGTGAGATCAGAATGTGCGATGATTGTTTAAGTTGAAAAAAAAATTACAGTAAAATACACTGCCACGAGCCTCCGTTAAAGTCCTAGCCCTTGCTTCTAACGCACTTCTTTTTTTTTTTTATCGTTTTCCTTTTTATCGATACCAGGTTTCGAACTCACGACTCCCTGCTTTCAAGGCAGGCGCTTATGCCGCTGAGCTAAATCCCCAGCCCCTAACGCACTTCTTTTGTTTAAGGTTTTGAGACAGGGTCTTAGTGTGTATTCCATACTGCTCTCTGATTCATGGTGACCCTCCAGTCGCAGCCTCTTGAGAATTGGGATGCCTAGCATGCACCTCCACGCCTGGTCCTTGGAACACACTCATCCCGTGGGCCTGGCCACCTTATGCAACAGCTCTGGAGCCCTCTTTCCTGAGTGTTTTTATGAGGTGTAATACAAAACAGCGTGGTCTAACAGAAAGGCAGGCTCGTAAGAACATGACGCTGAGTCCTAATCCACCTAGTTCACTAGATTGGCCACCGCGTGACTTTGGGCTCTTCCCCAGAGTCAAAAAGACCATGAAAGGGAAACACTGAGTCAATTTAGGTCATCGAGACAGCGAAGATAGTGCAATTCACAAAGACACCCAGGAAAGAGGATTCCAGAGCAAGTGGCAAACATGGAATACGGGTGTGAAGACAGGAAGTGTTCTGAGAGGGATTCATGGCACTTTTTTTTTTAAAGCACTCACTACTTTTTTGATCCCACCTGTGGTTGTTGGCGGTGGCTCCCTTCTCTCCACATCTGCAAAGGCCAGAGTTTCCACTGGACTGCCTCTCCCCTCTCTCCTTTTAGCCTTGCAGCCTTAAATTGGAAATCTCCCTGAGGGCCACAGCCCTACAAATCATGCCCTTCGAGTTTCTGGCCCTACCTGATCTTTCCCTAGGTATTGCAGGTTTGCAAACTACTTGGGCAGCATCTCTAGTCCACAATACATGCTCAGCTTCTCTGTAGCCAAGGGACTTTAGAACAGGTACTGAGGGCATTAGGGCTCACTGCCCATCCAGCATATGTAGTAAGTAAATGTATCTTTTTGGTGATCATTGTTCAACCTAGTAGAACCACCATGAAACAGTGTAGTCCACCCCTCAAGGTGAATTCTTGGAAGGCCAGCTTTCAAAGATTAGCTGGTAAGTGAAGGATGTTTTTGTTTTCCGGATGTCTCTCTGGTGGCCTCAGTCATGTGGGGGCCCTACACTTCCTGGAATGCAAGTGATCACATGCTTAAGTCAATAGCTAGACTTCTGGTTGTAGCTGCATGTTCTTATGAACATCTGGTGTCCATAGTCTGAAAAGGGAATGAGATCGTGCAAATTCAGGACTAATCAACCCTGTCAGGCCAGCTCCTGGACAGACAATGCCAGTGAGAAGAGATCTGGCCCAAGACTTACAGCAACAAAGGATACAAAATGAAAGTCAAGCTTCGTTTTGCACTTAATAACCTATTTTCACAAGCCCGAGTGAAGAGTACTGACTCACACCAAAATTGACTTTTAAGTCCCTGACGGTCTCAGAAGAAAACAAATCATGTTTCTAATGAGAACCAGTTAAGGGCCCGGGGTTCTGCTTGTTTCCCACCCACATTGACAATGCCGGAACTGTGTCAGAATAACCGCGAATAATCACCCTCAGGGCAGAAACACATCACTTGTAGTTCTCTTCCTGGCTTGTCTCAATGCGGTGGATAGCAGGCACTCTTCCAAGGACGTCAGCCTCTACCCCACCAGTGACACCCACACCCGCGGCCAATCCCTGGGCCCTGGTGTTCCCTAGAATCATTTCTTGAAGGCTATTTGTCAACACCAAGTGGGTAGGGGCGTGGGGGCTCTGTGCAGCACGAAGTCCCAAAGCTGTGTCTGTCCAGTCTGGAAGAAGTGATAAACACAGGCTGGAGCTTGCTGCCACCCGTGATGTGTACTCCACGCATCAACGCCCAGACCCGCAGGATCTCAGAGGCCAGGGAGCCTGCACTTACTGCGCAAGCGCACATCAGGGTTTCCGCAGGCCGGGCGGCGGGCTTACGTCATCTCGCGGTGTCTGGTGTGATGTCAATAACCTGCGCCGTCCTGAAGAGGTGCCTGGCAGTGCACGTGGGCGGTATCACGGAGGGAGGGTCCATGGCGAGTTCTGTAGGGCTGGCGTTGTGCGGGCAGGCGCTGGTGGTGCGGGGCGGCAGCCGATTCCTGGCCACCTCCACTGCGAGCAGGTGAGGGGGTCCTGGCTGGAAGCTGCGGGTGCGCGTAGGCCCTGGAGACCCCGCCTCCTCACCGCCGGGAAATCTGCGGGGCCCCCGGGAAATCAGCAGCGGCTGTCTGCCGGCCACCCGGCTCTGGCTCCGCAGCATGGTGGCGCTGCTCTTTCCCCGGGCTGCGGGTCTGCGGCGCTCTCGCCGGGGCAGCGGCGGGGCGCTTTTGGACTTCCGGGGTCTGGGGCGGCAGCGCGGCGACCGCGTGGGCCAGGTTCTGTGGGGCGGCTCTGACCAGCCCGGTTTAGGGCGTCGCGGAGGAGCCGGGCTTACTGTCAGCCAGCTTGGCGATCTCCCCCGATCCTCAAGTGCATCTTTCGGATGGTGCTTGCCTTCCTCTCAGACCTGTGTCCACCTACACGGTCCTCCTGGTTGTTCAGCGCAGTGTAATAAAAGGACTGCATACACAGGATGTGCCGAGGGCCCGCAGCCTCCCTGTTACTTTTCACGCTGTCTTTGCTTTCTGTAATTTCATTCTCTTGCTTTAGTGTATTCCCAGTTCTTGGACAGCACCCAAGATTCTTAATTCAGTCCATGCTTATTAATCGAATACGCTTGATTTTAGAAACCTGGATGCGGGGGGAATTAATGGTGGTCAGTTTCTGCCGTTGTTTCCTTTCCCGGTTGAAGTTATAGTAAATACAGATCTTGTAATTTACATACCTATCACGTGTCCCAGGTTGTTTTGTTTTAGATACTTAAAGCCCCTAATAAATGTCGCAGTGAACTGTAGGTACATTAGACACCATTTGCTTGTCTCAGTCTGTTTTTAGAGCAACTCTACCGCTAGCAAAGACTTCTGTTCACAAGTTCAGCGATCCCGTGAAAAGTGTTTGGGTGTAATCACTGTCAAGACCATTAGATATCCAGTGATATCTTTCAGAGCTTTCAGTGATACAAACAGCCTACTTCGGCACATGTACCACAGGATTGCCACCACTGGTGTGTACATGATAGCTTCCATATGCCTGAGAGTGGGATAAACGGTATCTCAGGGCAGTGGTGGTGAACCTATGGCACACGTGCTGCAGTGGGCTGTTTGTATCACTGAAAGCTCTGAAAGGTTCACCATCACTAGGTTAGGTTCTAATAAGGAAGATGGATGATTCCTACACGGGTAAGGGCATGGGAGCTTTTCCAGGTAGAGAAAGCATCTTTCTGAACCAGTAATGGTTTTAAAGTTTTGCACAAAGCCAAATGTGGTAGCACATGCCTGTAATCTCAGCGCTTGGGAGGTTGAGGTAAGAAGATTGCTTGGAGTTCAAGGCCAGCCTGGGCTGCATAATTGAAGACCAGCCTAAACTGCATAGCAAGATGCTGTGTCAAAAATAATTTAGGTGTAGAATCCTATAGAAAAGTCAACAGTACTAAGAAATTGTCTTATAACCATGGTGTATTAATTTCTAGTACTTGAAAGAGGAACGTTAATTCCCTGTTGAGTTTTTCTCCTTTATTTTATCAAACAGGTTTTCTTTGTTTTTTGAGCCATTGTCTTGCTATGTCCAAGCCAATCTCAAACTTTCAGTGATCCTCCTGCCTCAGCCTCCTGGGTGCTGGGGTTACACCATGCCTGGATGAACTGATTTTTTTTTGGACAGAACTGTGCTGATTGTGTATGACTTATCCAAATAGGTTAAACAAATAAAGTTTGTTAACTCCTCTCCCAATTATCGGACTCGGTCAGGTTTTTTTCTTGTCATGGATGAGACCCAGAATTTTATACAAATATTTTTGTTACAAGTTGAAAAGAAACCAGCATTTTCATTAACGGATGTTCTTCTGTCATTTCCCTTTTAGCGATGATGGCAGCCTCTTCACATTCGATTGCAGTGCTGCAGAAAAGAAGGTGCAGGAGAATAAAGGGTGAGGTTGGGGGGGGGCACCAGCGGGGCCTTGGTTTGAGCGAGGGGACCCGGAAGTGGAGGAAGTAATTGTGTTGATGGAGTCTTAATTTCTGCACCTGTGGTTGTTGTACTCTACTCAAAAAACAAGGCCCCATGATGAAAAACGGGGCAAGACATCTTTTTAAAAGAAGCGCTTTTATTTTAGCTGACCCAGTGACACAGTGCAGGTGGAATTTGCAAAGCTGTGCAACTGAGTTAGAGTTTTGACTGATTTTTATAGTTCATTTATGATTAGCTCATTGATCATTAAGTACATAGTGATGAGAAACAGAAATAAGGTGGGCCTTTGTTCCCCTTTGCTTGAAGTAAGAGGCATTTCACAGTGGGTGGTTAGCCAATTCATAGCCCTTGGTCTGCCAATTCGAGGAACATGTGTCTCATGAAGGGAACAATGGTTGACACAGCATCATTTGTCTCTTACAAGGGGAACAAAAGTTGACATAGCACACAGGTCACTAAGGTGGGGGGGGATGATGCAATACAGAACAGTAGAACGATGCGGTCAGTTAGTTTATAACTGTGGTTGGTGCTTGGTTACTAGGGTAATGAGCTCAGTACAGAATGACAGTATTACCAATAGCTTTTTAAGTAACTATTTTTGTTAATTATCTTTTGATCAATTATTTTAATTTTTAGCATCTTAGTATAACAGTGGTGAGGATAACTAAGTTCTACTTTTGGAAAGAAACATGAGAGTACAAGAGTGTTCAAGTGACAGATTGAGAGTAGTTGGTACTTTTCCACATTATTTAGTTTCTATCTGTGGCCATCCTTGACAGCTTGATGGAACAGTGAATGTTTAAGATACACTGAAGGCAGGTGTAATACAGCTGCTTGTGGCTCTGTTCCATTGTTATCTTTAATACGATTTGATCTCTGCCTGTGATCTTGGATTTGCTGTGTCCATAACGGGTGGGCTGTGTGCTCTCTCGGGTCCATCTGCCTAGTGCTTTGGATTGCAGTGTGTTTGCTGGCATGCATGCTCTGTCTAGTTAGGGTTTACCTTGATGAAGTTAGAGATGCTTTGTGAACCTCCCAACCTCTATTGTCTTTATCTGTTGGCTGAGTGAACTGTTTACGTCATCTCCTCTCCGTTGACAAGACTCACCATTGAAAACAAAGCACTATATTGACAAGGTTCACCACTGAAAACAAAGCCATCCTTCGAGGGAGGCCTCATTGTTTCCTTCTGTCCTTCCTAGGGAGGACGGACAGCCCGTGGACCAGGGGAGTGACACGATTCTGGCGTCCACCTTCTCCAAGTCTGGCAGCTATTTTGCTTTAACTGATGACAGTAAGCGTCTGATTCTTTTCCGTACAAAACCATGGCAATGTCTGAGTGTCAGGTATGAAATGCTAACACTGAATCATTAAGCTGTCCTGTGCACACCTTGTACTTGCATGTCAGTAGCCGTAGTGACAGTAACCATAGTGATAAGCAACTAACACAATTCTCAGCTAGGTGCCACACACAAATTCCAGTGCTTATGTGTGTTAACTAATTGAATCCTCCTAATAACCAGTGAGGGTGGCAGCGCCTTGTTCTTGCCCACGTTTGGTGGCAGGACTTGTCTCAGGCCGGTCCGCTTGGAGTAGAGCTGAGCGCCCTTCTGTCTGCGCTTGTGGAGAGGGTGGGAGCTGGGTGTGGAGGGAAGCGGTAATGAGGACAAGCAGCAGTGCTCTGGGCCTCTTACCTATTGGAGTCCTGTAAATGTTCTGCTTGATGTACCTTTTTCCTTTTTCCATTCCCTGCCCCTCCCCTCCCCTCCAGATATTGGACCTGGGGCCTTGTACAGAGCTCCGTTCCTAGCCCATTTTTCATTTGTTATTTTGAGAGAAGCTCTAGTGAAGTTGCCCAGGCTGGCTGGTACTCACCATCCTCCTGCCGTGCCTCCACAGTAGCTGGGATCACAGGGGTGAACCATTGTACCTGGCCAGGTTTGCATTTTTGTTGGCTCTGATAATCTCCTAATGCATGTGTTAGTGATTGTGTCATCGGGTTCTGATTGTTCCGTGACACCGAAGTAGACCCAGCAGGATCCTGAAGCTTAGCGTTCTTTACAATCAGAGATGAACACAGAAGTCACATGCCTGAACTCCTGAAATTAAGCAGTTTCTCTGCAGCTGGCTCATATTATATTGGACTCAACTGAGCTTTGTAAACTTGTCTTTCATCTTATTTTTTAACACTAAAAAGTCAACCCCAGGTGGCACAAAAAGTAAGAGGGCCTGTGGTGCCCTCTCCTCCAGTCAGATTGAAAGTAGAGCCTTACAGCTTTGCCTTATCTTCAGCATACTTATGTTTTTTGTTATCAGATAGGTAAAAGCTGCAAATGGTTGAGAAACTTCACACACAACAAATCCAGGATAAGCAGTAATCCACCAGATTGCCACCTCATGGGTTTGACAGGTCAGTAGTAGGAGAATGGCCTTTGAAGTGTGTGACCATGTATCTGGTTGATCTTAGACTGCTGCAGCCACCCGTCCACAGTGAGCCTGCAACTTCCTGGCCTTGAAAGGCCTGGCCAGCATTCTCTTGCTAGAGGAGCTGATGCGCTACTGTGTCACGTGGAATGTAGCCCAGGGGAAGCATCTTTAGGAGTAGAGGTGAATCTGGCAGGGTGGCTTTGAGGTTTGCAACCTAAGCCCCCCTTCCCCGCCAACTCAGGTCTGGGGCCTCTCCAGGTTGGATGTCCGAGAGCAGCTGCTGCAGTGTCTGTGTTCCGATTTCCTCTTGCGGGGATGCAGTCGGATTGGACCTGGGCCCTGTTGGGTCTCATCGCCTCTGTAAAGGTCCTGTCCTGCCTTCTGGGTAATCACAGTGCTGCCAGCCTTGGAGCTGCACTTGGAGCAGCAAGGCATGGCTGGGCCAGGCCTCCCTCGTGGGTGGCACTGTGACTGTGCTGCTGATCGTGCCATCACCGCTCAGGCATGGGCAGTGACCCTGGGCGCGGGGATACCTGGTGTCTGCTCGAACTGAAGGTTGCTTTGCAGGCTGATACGGCCCAGAGAAAGAGGATGCACCTTAACAGGCTGCAGACTGCGAGGACTCAGGGCCTACGGGCTGCTGAGGCTGTGGGGTTTCCTTTACCCACTGTCCCTCTATCGATGGACTTTCTCCTGTGCGCTGCTTGTTCTGCTGTTTCCAAGAGCACTTCAGGGAATAGTCACACATGCATGTGCTGTGAGTAACCTGTGGGAGAAATCCCCGCAGATGAGTTCCAGCTGGCTCACATGTGTCATTTAGGCAGATCATTTCTGAGGAGCACTATCTGTCCTTCCAGAATATAAAAATGCCTGTTGGGATGGGATATGGATCAGAGAAGCATTGGCCCAACATGTGGAAGGCCCTGGGTTCAGTCTCCAGTGTTGTAAACATACGGAAATAGAATTAGAAAATGCCACCTCAAAGCTTACCAAATTTTTTTTTTTTTTGTACCAGGGATCGAATTTATGACCTCACACTTGCCAGGCATGTGCATATGCCACTGAGCTAAATCCCCAGCTCTTGATCTTGTCAAATCTTACAATTTTAGGCAATCTAATGAAAGGAAAATAGTATCTCCTACCTGTCTTTTTATGAATGAGGTTGGCCAACCTTTGTGTAAACTTAGGAATCGTGTGTATTTTGTGAGCTTTCCTTGTATTTCTTTTTTCACTTACAGATAGTGCCTTTTTAATTGATTTTAGGGCCCTTTATACATTGGCACATTTCCCAGCTTTCTGTCTTTGTAGGTGTGTTAGATAAGCGCTGTCAGGGAGGAAGGTTTATGCTGGCTCACAGTTTGGGAAGTCCCTGATCACCTGGTGCCATCACCTTTGGCAGGAGTGTGTGGTAAAACTTGGCTACTTGTTCTGTGGCAGCCAGAAAGCAGAGAGAGGGGTCAGGGCTGCAGCGCTGCCTTCAAGGGCGCCCCGACCTGATTACCATGCTGGGTTCCACCTCCTAAGTGGGTTCTACCTCCCACCCTGCAACGGGAGACACTGGGGACCAAACCTCTCAAGTGTGGCCTTTGGGGGTTTATGACCCAGAATGGGGGCAGATCTGTGATTTACTGCCTGCCTTGTTTAGGCCTTTTGTAGGCCCCTTCCATCCCAAGCTCTCTCTGAGCTTTGGTCAGTTGATAAATTCAGCCATGGACGTTAACAGGACATCAGGTCTTCCTGGTTCCCATGGAAAGCAGGTCGATCTCCTACCATGTTGACTTTTCCATTTTTCTCCTTAGATTTTGGTAAACACAGAAAGTTGAAAATCATGGAGAAGTACAAAGTGGGAACCAGAAATGTACCCAGGATCTCCCTACCCAGTGATCTTGTCCCTGAGCATTGGGCGTGCCCTTCAGGTTGTCCTGCAGTGTCACACATGTGTGGGCTGCTCTGTGTATCTATGCCATCTCCTCACACTGTGTCGTCCTTGCTGTTGGGCAGTCAGGTTGTAAGTGACCCAGAGCTGCTGTCCTGAGGTCATTTAGGATCACGAAGGGACACAGACCTATCCTCCAGAAGGAGCTTCCTGGGTAGTGTCCAGGAATGCCCCATGCCCCCTGGTCACCATGTTAGTCTCTGGGGAGGCCAGTGCCCCCCCTTTTCTTAGGCCCACCCCCAGGAGATGAGGCCAAAGGCAAGGTTCCTGCATTGCCATGCAGGTGTCCCCTGTGTCAAGGCCCCAGACCCTTAGGTATGGGGGCGCTGGCCCAGAGTGTGTGGCCAGGCCCGCTGTTGGCCTCGGAGAAAGGGCCACACTTGCACTCGCTCTTTAGATCTCCTGTGTCGCGAGGTCTGCCCAGCCAGCAGTGTCCAGCAGTGTCATGGGAGCTCTGGGCTTGCCACTGCAGTGTTGTTCTGTGTCATTTTGGGCACCTTCCTCTCAGAACTTGTGAGTGAGGGGCATGTGTGAGTGGCCATCTCAGCTCCCGCACTGTGGGCCAGCCGGTGCCTGGCACTCCCATGTATGGGCTCTGATCGCCCTGCAATGGGTCTGGTCTGTGCTCCCAAGTCCAGTGTGGTTCAATGGCGGAGGACAAGAAGGCTCTTGATCGCCGGGGCACTATGGGCTTGGTCTAACCCGGTGGCATCACTGGGGACAGGGCTCCTCTGTGGGTACCACCCAGGCCTGCGGGATGTGCAGACCCCACAGCTGTGTGTGAACCCGACCTGTGCTCTTGTCCTGGTGCACTGCCAGCTCGGGCAGCGTCTTTTGAAAGCAGCGTGGGGCAGTGGAACTCGGTGGGCAAAGTAGAAGGGTGGCTGAGAACAGCAGCTGGTATTTGTCAGGTTTCCATTATAGCTGTTTGTTCCTGGTGTTAATTTTTTGTCTGTTTGGCAGTTTCAGGGCTTAGAGGGAGGAAGATGCAGGAGAGGGGAGGCAGCTTGATCAGGACCCACACCAGTGCACAGGCCAGTCCCCGTGGGGGCTGCCATGTGCCTTATCTGGTAGTTCCTCACCTGCTGGGCTTTGATTGACCCTCCCCAGGCCCATCTGCCATTCAGCACTGTTTCAGGGGTTTTGTGTGCCTATGGTTTATGTTGCGTGAAGGACCAGGCCCCATGCTGCCACGGGCTTACACCAGCCCCCACTCTGTCCAGCGGCCATTTGTAGTGTGTTGCCACGTTTCTGTCCTAGCTTCGGGTGTTGTGAGGCATATTCAGGCAGGAAGTTTTGGGTGACAGTTGTTTTCCAGGTGGTGGTTTAATGTGATAGTGGGCCAGAGTAGTCAAGGGACCCTGACCTGCCTTGGAACTGAGGTCAGGGCCCCCAGACAAGGTGGCCAGTGTCACCTTCAGTTTTTCCCTATGCTCTTTGGGTGAGTGATCCTACCTGTGAAGTGGCTCCCAGGAGGCACCCAAAGACAGAGCCCTGAAGTCAGGGATGGGTTGGCTCCATGTCCAGCCTCTGGGTACAGGAGTTTGGGAGCTGGGCCAGCGTATGACTGGTACCCAGTACCTCCAGTGCCTACCACGGCTCAGCAGGGGCCTGGCTGGCTGCTGCTTGGCCCACAAGCCTGAACTTGATTGAGCCACTGGCTCAGGCCCTGGGCCTTTCAGCCTGTGTGCTGTCCCCAGGTGACCTGCCCATTCTGCACGCCAACTCTTACATCAGAACTCTCACGCCCTCTGCATCCTGGCGTCCGGCCGGAGAGGGCATGGGCTCCTGGGCTGCACACGTGTCTGGGGCATCAGGCCCCTGTGGCTCCGTGTTGCTGCGCTGCGCAGTCTGCCCGTTCTCCTTGGTGCTGGCCCGCACGCCTGCTTGGGAGTCTCCACGAGCCTGCCCCAGACCTGGCTGGCTTTTTGTTGGCATCACTTCCTCTGCATCTGCCCCATGACTCCCCTGCCTGGGCTGGAGGAGGAGGAGGAGGAGGAGGAGTGGAGAAGGAAAACTGCTCCCTGTGCTGCAGTGTGGCTGCTGTGGCAGAAATGTGATGTGGCTGTCACCCAGCCCGCCCTTTGCTCTGTTGTCCACTGTCCTGCCTGGGCCCGTGTGGGTCATGCAGTTCTTCTGGCTCCAGCTCTGGCTCTAGCTGATATCTTGCAGTCCTGCTGCAATGGCCACCGCCCGTCCTTGGGTGGCAAAGGAAGTAGGCAGGGCTGCTCTGTTGTGAGCAGGGGTCGGGGGTCACAGCGTGTGCATAAAGCAGTGTTTGGTGTGTGTGAAATGAAGCACGCAGGTGTGAAGCTTGCCCCTGGGCAGAGTGGCATCCCACACTCTGAGCTGCAACTGGGTGAGGCTGGGCCCGGAGCGGCTGCTGTGGCTCTGCTGCTCACTGAGCCGGCATGCAGATGTGACAGGCCTGGTACCCTGCCCAGGTCAGGCCTTTGGTGCACAGGAGTCCCGCCAGCCTTCCCATTCCTAGCAGGCATGGGGATAGGAGCACCTGGCGCTAGCTGTATGATTCCTGGTGCCACATAGAGCTGGCAGAGGTGACCGAGGAGGCCGTGGGGCATGAGAGGCCAGGGTGGCATTCCAGATGGTGGCCTGTGCTTTTGTCCCAGAGGCAGCACACACAGTGTCTGCAAAGCTGTCCCTCTTGTTCCCCAGATGTGCAGTAGAATTTCTGGGGTCCCCCATGGCGTGATAATGTGTTCCCGAGCTGGTGGGTTTACCTTGGACACACACACAAAGGCAGAGCTCGCTACTTAGCTGCTCTGAGACTCTGGAAACTGGGTACTGGACTGCATTTTGATGCTGGCGTTTTGTCCCAGTAGTTGACGCACAGGCTGAGATCTGTCAGTGTCGAATGCCCTGTACCCCTTCCCAGCCGAAACTGTATGTGGTCCTCCTGGAGCCGGTGAATGACGAGCTGTCAAGCTGTCATCTGTAGCTGGAGGGGAACCACCCATCTGTGCCCAGCCTGTGCAGGGAGCACCCCAGCTTGGCCTCCTGCCTCCAGCACGCTGGACAGAGCAGGTACACGGAGCCCGTGGCGCACTGCCGTGTGCCTGTCCTGTGCAGCCTGAGAGCGGAGGTGTGCGGGCACACTCCTCCCCGTCAGGATGTCGTATGTGGGAGGTGGAGCCTCGAAGGCTGTGGAGAGTCCTGTGTCACCCCGGCACTGAGCGGGGCGTTTCTCTGGCCCTGCAGGTCTGTGGTGAGACGCTGCACGGCCCTGACCTTCACAGCCTCTGAGCAGAGGGTCTTGGTGGCTGACAAGTCTGGGGACGTCTACTCTTTCTCGGTGCTGGAGCCGCATGGATGCGGCAAGCTCGAGCTTGGTCACCTGTCCATGCTGCTGGACGTGGTATGTGGCAGACACCCTGTGTCACTGCTCTCGCTGAGGCCCCGGCAGGTAGTGCGGCTCCTCTCGAGCAGGAGAGCTTGGAATGGAGCGGGGCGAGGGCGGAGGATGGCAGGGTGCTTTAGGAGGAGCCTGTGGTTCTGTACCTGGTGGACAGCTTTGTGGGTTGTGGTGGGGGCGGGTGGGGGCGGGGCTCTGGTCACAGACACTGGGTTGGAGGTGAGAAGAGCCTGAGCCCGTGCTGCCCCATGCCCCGCTGCTACCTGGTCACTCCTGCTTGTGCCTAGCCCTGCTGACATCTCGCCGGGACTTGCAGACCCAGCCGGGCGGTGTGGGATAGGAGCAGGGTTCACGTGTACCCAGTGTGGCCCTGGTCCCCAGCTGAGCTGCAGTCGGGAGCCACCCTGTGAGCCCCAGTGGTCGCACAGCAGGGGCAGGGAGGGCAGGAGCAGCTCCAGCCTGCCTGGGCCATGACCTGGCTGCGGCACCTTTTCCAGGGCACTCTGGGAGGAGAGGAGCCACCGAGCTCTTTCTGTCCCCCCTTTCACAGGCCCTGACTCCTGACGACCGCTTTGTGCTCACCGCCGACCGGGACGAGAAGATCCGCGTGAGCTGGGCCGCGGCACCGCACTGCATCGAGTCCTTCTGCCTGGGGCACACAGAGTGAGTGTGGAGCCTGCAGCCGGGGAGCGGCCCAGGTGGCCGAGGACAGCGCCCAAACCGGGTGACAGCTTGGTGTGCTGGCCTGGAGGGCGCTCTGTATTTGAAGCAGTGGAAATGACAGGAGAGCTTGCGCTCAGCGAGGAGTTCACCCGTTTCCTGGGTTGAGCGGGGTGCCAACCTCAGGATGTCACCACGAGGAAGGGGTGTCACCCTGTGCCTCATGGTGGTTGCCTTTGACACTGGCTTACTTGTTTTCAGCCATCACTAACTCAGCCCCTGGGACCCTCCTCATGTCTCAGTGGGTTCCACTGCTAGGCATGTGCTCCTGCCCGCAGCCTTTGTGTATGCTGCTTCTGCCCACAACTGCCCTTCCTGAGACGCCACCCTCCCTCACCCCCTCAGCTTCTGCCTCAGACCAACTGCTTCCTTAGGGCTCCCAGCCATCCCTCTAAGGAAATGCCCTGGACATACAGTTTCTAAATAGGGTCTCACTGTGTGGTTCTAGTTCTAAATAGGGTCTTACAGTCAGTCCTCCTGCCTCAGGCTACTGAGTGCTGGGATTGCAAGTGTGCACCGCCACACTTGATGTTATAATATGGGTATACTGAACCAAGTAAACACTATGTCAGAATTTTTTATATGTGTGTGTGTGTATATACCTGTGCATGAGTGTGTAGAACCCAGGAACTCCTGTTCGGGAGATACACACTGCCTGTGACTGAGCGAGGGCAAGCTGGGCTCCTTATAGACAATCCCTGGCTGACCACTCAGGGCTATGCCCCGGGCCATCTGACTGCCCGTTGGTGGTCGGCCTTTAGGGCAGGAGTGGCAGGTGCGTGCTCTGGGATGGGTGCAGTGGGTGCTCGAAGCCCTGCTCTTGATTGGAAGGGGGTTGTCCAGCTCCTGGTCACTGTGCTGGCAAATGGTAGGAAATGGCAGAGAACCCTCCCCTGGTGGGCACTGTGACCCAGAGTCCAGGCTGACCCTCACCTCTCACCCTGCAGGTTTGTGAGCCGAATCATGGTGGTGCCTGGCCATCCGGAGCTGCTGCTGTCCTCCTCGGGGGTGAGTGCCCTTGGGAGCCCCCAGGGTCTTGCAGTGCTGTGCTGGCCCCAGGTCCCTGTTGGTCAGTGGTGTCCACTAGGTGGTGCCTGTTTCCCAAGTCCCAGAGGGACACCTGGCTGGCTCCCTGGTGATCAGCCAGGCTACAGGTTGTGTGTAGGGGGAGGGGTGCATAGTGTGGGGGTGTGTGGTATGGGTGGGTGTTGGTGTGAGCATGTGGTGTGCATATAGTGTCCCTCGCTCTGTGAGAGCATGGAAGGCATCCATGATTCGGGTGGCCATGTGGTGGGAGGCCCCTCCTGACTCCTGGGTTCTAGGGTCTGGCCCCTTGGCTGCCAGGGCTCAGGCATGTGCCATTTGGGTCCTGAGCAAACTTCCGGGCCACAGCAGTTGCTCTGGAGGCCTGGGCCCCAGCCATCAGGAACTGTCCTCTAAGGAGGGGTCTCTGGAAGGCTCCCTCCTTTGCCCCCACACTACTTGTTTGCTGGGCTGTGGCGTGGAGTGACGGTCCCCGCAGGTGCCACTGCTGACCTGTACCCACTGTGCCTCCCTGGGCTCCAGCCCTGTCGTCGCCCCTGTGTCCTGAGCTCAGTCTGTTCCTGCCCCTCAGTTTCAAGGCCCCCATGGGCACAGAGGAAAGGAAACAGGAACGAGCAGTGGGATCCCCAGGGGTGCTTCTGTGTGCACAGAGCAGAGTGGTCTCCCGAGGCCTGGCTCTGTACAAAGATCGTTCAGGTTTGGTGGTTCTCATGTTGTCCAGTAGCTATTCAGGTATGGGGAGTACCCCATCTGTGAAGCTTCTCTTTCTGGAAATTCCTTTAATCTTCCATAGAGTTTAGGTCATCAGCTTGGTGTTCTGCTTTTTGGGTTTTTTTTTCATTTTGTTTTGAGATAGGGCCTTGCTGTGTAGTTCAGCCTGGCCCTGAACTCACTATGTAGCCCAGGCTGTCCTTGAACTTGCGGCAGGCCTCTTGCCTCAGCCTCCTGAGTGCTGGGGTTCCAGGCTGCTGGTGTCACTTTGTTCTCTGCGGGCCTTGCTCGTGCAGGCAAGCACTTCACCCTGAGCTCACATTAGCCCCGGAGCAGAGACCTGACGGGGTCACCCGCTATTCGCTCTACTTGGTTCTTAATTTGCTCCCTTCTTCTGCCTCCTGTCCAAGTCTAAAGCTTTGGGCCCTCCTTGGCACAGGCTCTGCGATGGCACCTGGAGACGTCCCGGGGTCTTCTGTCCCCTTGCCCTGCGGCATGTCGGGACCCTCAGGATGTAGATACAAGCTGCTGGTGGCTCTGCCCTCCGTCCTGCTGGAGCTTTCTTTCCTCATTTCCTACACCTCCTGCCACTTTTTCTCAAGCTTGTTTAGTCTGATGCTGAACTGCTTTAAGTCTTGATTTTCTCTCCTGGTTGCTTTCCTTTATACCCTCACTCTGTTCTGCTTTTTGGGAGATTGCCTCTTCTTTGTCTCCTGACCCTCTGTAGAAATTTTAATTTTATCGAGGGTGTTTAAAGCACACCACTGTTCTTTACCTCAGCATTTCTTCACGAGTTTGGAGGGTTCTTGTTTTGGGCTGCACGTGCTCGGGGCTCTCACCTCCTCCTCTCACTTTTCCTTGCCTGCCTCTGTTTCATGTAATGTGCGTGTGTGCATGCACACGTGTGCCTTTCTTGTTGAGGTCTTGTTCCCTGTGACAAGCCTGAGGCTGTCATTTTTTGGGGGACAGGTGAAGCGCACGGCCACGCACTGCCTGGAGGTGGCTCTGGGCCCAGTGCACCCACTCAGCAAGGGCTCGTCCTCAGCTTGGGGACGCCCAGTGTTCCCCTCTGCACGCATGTGTGCAGGGTCTCTGTCCTCCGTTTTAAGCAGCACTGTCACAAGTGTGTTTGGTACTTGGAATCACATGTAGCACATTGAGGCCCCGATACCTGTGGCCATTTCTGAATCCTTGATATTCTGGCCGATAGCAAATGGACTTGTTGGTCACCAGCAGAGTGACACAGATGTCACACACTAATTAGCCCTGTGCGTTTTTCCCCACGTGTGTGCTTGATTGTCAAAGTGTCTGTGTGTGCATGTGTGTTCGTGCCATTTCTCCCTGTGCATATATGTGGCCATCAAAGTGTGTACATCTTTGTGTGGACTTCCATCCCCTAACCGGTGACAGTATGGCTGTCTTGGATCCTGTGCTTATTTTGCTGTGGAGTCGTCTTATTTTCTGGGGTTTTGTGTCTTTATGAGAGCCTTAAATTCATGGAGGCAGCTCTAGCTATCACAGGGAATTTCTGCTGGCCACACCTGGCCACCGTAAGTGTCCTGCACCTCTTGTCCCGGAAGCTGTCCTGCCGCTGGGGAGGCCCTGTGTGTTAACCTGTTAGTCTGTCTTCACAGGACTGCACCCTGAGGCTCTGGGAGTACAGGAGCGGCCGCCAGCTGCACTGCTGCGACCTGGCCAGTCTGCAGGAGCCAGCCGAGCCTGAGGGCCACCAGGTACCATACTTCTGGGGCTCACCAGCCAGGTGCCTGGCTGTGGGGAAACTGTGTAGCTACTTCTTGTGCTAGTGTAGACTTATAGCTTGGGAGCAGGGTGCGCAGTTTGCACATGTGGGGGGTGCCTAGTCATGCAGGTGGGGGTAACCCACCCCTGGTCTCACGGCGTTTCCGCACCTAGCGTACAGAAAGGCCCCAGCTCCACTTGAAAGTGGGAAAAATAATAGGGCTGGTTTAGTGGCCAAAACGCACGTGTTGGCTTTGTGAACAGGTGGGGACAGGGTCCTCCCAGCCCACAATGTTCCTGCAGCCAGCCTAGGCAGTGTTTCCGTTCCCCATGGGCTGGCTTGGTTTCTCACTGGGCATTGGGTGGCGAGGCCTCAGCCCCCTGTAAGTCAGTAGGGAGTACATCAGGCGGCGAGCCTTTCCTTCCACACTGTGGGGCAGGGAGCTTTGGGGTCCCTTTTTGTAATGGGGTGGTCATGTCTGGTGTCATCACCTCTCTCTGTCTCATGTGCTCTGCCTCTAGCTCTTTGCCACTGCACCTTTCTCTGGTTTGTGGCACTGGACGCTGTGCTTGCCTCTGCCTGGGCACGGTGGGGCCAGGAGCGCCTGTGGGCTGCTGCCCTTCCACGATGGGCACGGGCAGTGCCAGTGAGCAACTGCTTTTCCCCACAGAGGTTTGCTGTGTCCAGGATTGCGTTCTGGGGCCAGGATTGCTGCGTGGCACTTCTGTGTGACGGGTGAGCCTGCAGGAGGGACAGCGAGTGGACAGCCCTGCATCAGGGCCTCCTGGGCAGAGGCCTGTGGGGCGTTGGAAGTGAGAGTCTTTCCCAGCCTGGCTCTCTGCAGTCATCACATTCTGGGGCTCCCCTGCCCACCAATGGGGCTGGGACTGCCTGAGAGCCATGCCTGAGGGTGGCTGCAGCGGGCAGTGCTCCCTGAGTGGTTCGGGCAGCTCAGCTGGGGCCCCAAGCGCTACTGTGCTGTGGCTGGGACTGTTGAGGCCTGGTCGCAGCGATGACCATCCTCTCTCTCTGGAAAAGCCTCCCGCTCGTCTTCGTGTTCCAGCTTGATGCCTGCAGGCAGCGGCTGACGTTCCAACAGCAGCTGAGGTTCCCGCACCGTGTGTGGGACATTGAGTTCGAGGAGGCACAGGGGCTGTGGGTCCTGCAAGACTGTCACGAGGCACCCCTTGTGCTCTGGAGGCCCACAGGTGGCCCGTGGCAGGTGAGGCCAGCAGCTTTTGGGAGTCAAGGGCCTGCTGTCCTGTGGGTCAGGGTGGCACAGCAGCCTCAGTTTCCTCTTTCCCTGGGCCCCCTCCAGCCTGACCAAGTCTGCACCCAGGCTGTGACCCAGGGTGGTAGCCAGGGCATTGGCCTGGTGGAGGGAGCTAGGGCTGGCCTGTCCCCACCATGCTGCATCAGAGGTCTTTTGTGGGGCACCTCATCCCACCCCACACATCTTTCTAACAATGAGGTGGCTCTGGCTGTGTCCTTCATGAGCACGGGCTCAGTGGCTCAGCCTTGTGCCCGGGCTTTGAGGGACATGGGGATGTCCCCACCTCTCTCTCAGGATCATAGTGGGTCAGGCAAGTACATGAGGCCCCCCTTACCAGAGCCCATGGCCATGTGCTTTGGTTCCCCCAACTCTAATGTTTGTTTGAGTAGAGTGGCTGCTGAGGCTGAGGCAGGCGCTGCTGCTGCCTGCCCTGCCTCTGACCATGTTTTCCCTGTCACTCCAGCCTGTTCCTGACAGTGCTGTATCCCAGAGACTCTGTGGTCACCTCCGAGGGAACTGGGCCATGTTGGAAGGTGAGATCGGGAACCCTGGTGCTGGCCAGGCTCTGCAGGACCAGGCAGCCACTGGGGTGGGAAGTGTCCTATGAAGGAAGTGGCTCTGTGGCCCCAAGGGTGGAGACTTGGCCTCAAGGTTATGAGTGCAGTGCAGACTCAGGTTCGGCTGGGCCAAGGCCCTGGAGCCATGTGTCCTGGTCACACAGCCGGGCGGCTGCACATGAGGCTGCCTGACAGTGTCCCACATGGGGATGCAGCAAGCCCTGCCCATCTATCCATGGGTTATACCCATAGACCCTTGTCCTGCAGCTACAGGGCATCTGAGAGAAGGGCGTCCATGGGCCCGTTCAGACCGGGCCTCCCTGTAAAGATGCTAGAAGAAATCTGGAAGCCAGGCTCATGTGCAGTTAGAAGCTGGGGCTCCCTACTGTCTACAGGAATTCCAACTTAAACTTGGCTTCCAAGCTGTCTTTGTCAGGGTGCTGGGGTGTCCTCTGTGAGGTGTGTTGGGCAACGTGCTGGCTTCTCCTGCTTAGAGGCAAAGCGGGGTCGTGGAGTGATAGTGGCCCTCTGCCCCACTGCCCCACCTGGATCTGGGTTATTTAGCAGCCCCTCAAGGTAGCAGATGAAGGTAGCATGGGCGGGAGCACAGGAGAAGAGCCACCCCATGCACCCGTCCCAGGAAGTGACCCAGCTGCAGGGACAGTGCTGGGGAGTGGAAGACAGTTCCATGTCCAGCAGTGCTGGCTCTGGGCTGCTGCTCGCGGGTATGCCCAGTCTGATACTCCTGTCAGACCCACAGCTGTCCCCACTACTGCCTGTCTAAGTTTACGCACTGACCAGCTCGCCACGCCGTGGTCAGGGTCTGGGTGCTATCTCCCTGCCCTTGTTGGTGACGCCTGGGTTCTCCGCCAGACGGGCTGTGGAGATTGTGAGCAAGGCACCCGTGGGTGGTAGCGACACCTCTGTTCATGGGTTCCTACTCCTGCACCAGACCTTTGGCTGTTTCTGATAGCGGGTCCAGCCAGTGTCATAGGCGTGTCCCTCAGGGGCCTACAAGTCCCCCCAGGATGCTGGGTTGTCACCACGCTGCCTCCCTGTCCTGGGACGGCCTTGCGGGAGTTCTGAGTCCTGGTCGCTGACTGGCAGTGCCTGAGTGCCACATCCTGAGTTGCTGTCCCTTCTGGTGCTGTTCTGTTCCCGTTACAGGCGCTGCTGCTGTGGACGACGGCTTCCGAGGTCTGTACAAGGCCACCTTCGACAACACGAGTTCCTACCTGAAAAGGAAGGAGCAGCGGCTGCAGCAGCAGCAGGGGCGGAAGCGGCAGCAGAGCCCTCTGCCAGGGCCCCCAGGACAGTGCAAGAAGATGTGCTGACCCTCGCCCCTGCTGTGCTGCCCAGTGTCTCCCTTGGGAGGATGGGGGCAGCCCGAGGCCGCCGGCTCAGCTGCAGTATTTGGACTGTGGCTTGTGTCAGCCTGACTGGTGATCGGGCAGTGGAAGCACGTCCCTTCTGGTCGGGGTGCTGGCACTCACCCCACCCGGCTCAGTTTCCTCTGTACCCTGCTGCTGTCCATGCCAGCCATCCTCTCCAGACGCAGCTTCCTCTGGGGGGATCCGCAGGTGCCACCATGTTGTTTGGCTGTCTCGGTTGCCACCTCCAGGCAGCCTTTGAACCTTGAGCACAGTTGGGCGCTTGGTGACTCTGCAGCTCTGTGCCTGGCTGCATCACAACCGGCCCCGTCTGGCCACATGGAAGGGTCCTGTCAGTACTCTGGGGCTGGGAGGGCACCTGTGCAGGAGGGAACCCTGCTGCAGGCCTGGGCCTTGCCCCGTCGTGGGGACGGTTGGTGACGCTGCTCTTGGCTTTCCAGGTCTGTGACTTTGTGTACACGCAGGGCGCTGGGTTCCAACATTTGTTGATACAGGGGCACTTTCCTTCAGGTCTGGGGTGTAGCTGGTGTGCAGTCTTGAGCTCCTCGGGCATGTGCCTTGAACAGCACTGGGGCAGCTGGTGGCTGGGCGTGTGGATCCCAGAGCCAGGCCTGCCTACCACCCTGTGTCAGTGACAAGGTGGCCGCTCAGAGATAGTCCTGCTGCATAGTCCCTATACTGCACCTTCCTAAGTGCCTTGGTTTGTGCACCACCTGGGGACAGTGCTGTTGATGACCGGCAGGCTGCTGCCTTCCTGGCTCAGTAGGGGGATTGTGGGTGTCTGCGTGGTCCCCATACTCGGCTCTAGGAGACTCTGGCCTGGTCTGCCGGCGCTGGCTCTGTTGGGCTCCTCAGGGCTGGGAGGTGGCTCAGGGTGGGCTGCTTTGACTCCTGGCTCCACACACAACACACATGCGTGGGTCTGCAGGCCGGGGCCTGGGGGCTGGGTCTCGCCTGCTGCTTGACATGAGCTAGGCATGGATTTGTGGTTTCAAAAACAAGAGGAAAAGTAATGTTCCTGATGTGAAAATCACGCTCAAAGCGTGGAGTCCACAAATGCTGTACACTTCTGGACACAGCTGCTCTGCTGCGTGTTGACCGCAGAAACAGGGTGACAGCCCTTGAGGCTGCCAGGCCTGCCATGATCCATGTGTGCCCTTCACAGAAGTTTCCTGGCCTATTTTGAGATCCCTTTAAAAATGGGTATTTTCAATTCAGGAGGCTGAAACAGGAGGGTCACTGCAAGTCTTGAGACCTTGCCTCAAAAAACATTGTATATTTAAAAATCAGTCTGGTTGAATTCTTCAGAAAACGCCTTCCTGGGTTCTGTTTTGCACCTGGTCCTCTGCCTGAGTCCATCATGCATTTGCTTGGGCCAGGCTGAGTATGCACCTGTGAGACCCAGCCCTTTCCCCAAGTGCCTCGGCAGATCCTTACGTGGACCAGGATCCAGCTCCACTGCCCCACTTCTGGGGCCCCTAGTTGGAGCTACAGGGCAGACGGGCCAGCAGCCAGGGGCGAAGGGGCCTTGCACCCCCACATAGCTGCCCTCCCTGAGGTGCTCCTGCGGCCGCCTCTGGCTGTGCGCCGGGTCAGGAGTGGCTTCCTGCTCCTCCCTCAGTATTCTCAGGGCTCCTGGTGCTGGCACTGAGTGGGCTTTGTTCCTGCCCAAGGCCTGGGTATCCCGTGTCCCCGCACTCTCCTGTATAGTAGGTGACAGTTCTGCGTTCCCCTCTGGCACAGCCCTGGTCCTCTCCATTGTCCTGTCTGCCCTGCCCCTCAGCCGCTCCCTCCCTCATGTGTTTCCCACTCTTTTCTGGGTGGCCTGGCCTGCTCACCTGAGTGTCACCTAGCTCTGCTACTGTCTGTTTTCTGTTCCTGTCGGGGACCCTCCTTGGGTTTGGTTCCACATCTTCCGATTAAAGGAGTTTGGCTGTGGCACTTGGTTCCTGGTGCTTTCTTGCTTTTCTTTGGATTGCAGCCCGTGTCGTGCAGGATGGGAGAGCGCACGTGTGACAGCGCCCCACATGCTGAGGACAGCCCTCTTCCAGCCAGTTCAGTGTCTGGCTGAGACTCCCAGGTGTGCGGGAGTGGGAGTCTTCCCTCCTGCTGCCGCGCTGCCTGCCCCTCCTGTGGGTGTCCTGCTGTGTCCTGTTGGTGGCGTCCACACAGCTTCCTGCCCTCAGCCCGTAGGAACAGCCTGTCATCAGCTTAGTCGCTGGGACATGGCTCACAACTCACGACTGAGAAACAAAGAGGTGTGTTTGGTCAGATGCAGACCATGTGTGGAGGAGAGCTGCCATAATGTGGTGGCCAGATGCCAGGGAGGAAGCTGTGCCTGTCCAGTGTGGCCTCCAGTGACTGCCTCTTCCTACTGGCCCCCCTCTTCTCCACACTCAGCCGCCGAGCCCGTGGTGAATTCATCTACTGATGAGCACGGCACCATGGTGCACACTTCCCTCCAACGGGCTTTGGGGGAGCCCTGGACCTGGAGCACCACAGTTGTGAAGGGCACCCAGGACAGTGTGAGCTCTTGTTCATAGGCGTCCTGGGGAGATGGCGCCAAGGCCCTCCCTGCCTCCAGAGGCCTGTCTGTGTGTGTGTAAGGCCCTGGTAGGAACCACTCTGGGGGTGCTTGAAGTCCTCTCTGGGTTCCTCACTTGGGGAACAGTGGCAAAGGAAGAAGACTTGGTCACAGGCACCCCCCACGGTCCTGATCCACTCTGGCTGGATCTGAACACAGAGCCAGTGGACGGGAGGCCGAGCTGTCCGGCTGTGGGAAGAGCTGCGGTCTGTGGGTGTGCTCATGTCCTTGAGAGCATGTGGTCAGCCGGTGATGTCCCAGGGTCTGCAGCGTAATTGCGCTTTGTCACAGAGGCAGAGCAGGGGCTGGGGACGGGGCAGTGAGGAGACCCCTGGCATCTGGACCTGAAGTCACCCTTGTATGGGTTTCTGACCTTGAGTGGAGCCAGCTTCAGGGTCAGGAGGACACTCAGGCAGCCTGCTAAGCGGCCAGCAGCCAGGAAGGCGCCTACCGGAAGATGGCTTCCTGGCCCCTCCCCCGGGCACTGCACAGACAGTTGGCTTGTGCATCTTCCCATCTGGCTCTCTTCGTTTCTTCTCTGCCCGTGCTTCTGGCAGATGTGAGATTTCCCTCCAGGCCTGTGAGCCGCTGCTGGCTTTGCCTGCATCTCGGTCTCCAGGTGCAATTCGTCGACCGCACACTTTCCAGGCCAGTGGGGCTTGTTTTGTGCTTTGCTCGTTGAAGGAGTGGCCAGAGGCTCTATGCACAAGAGGAGCTGCGTCTGCTGCTTAGTTTTTGTGTGCGTTGTTTATTAATTGTGATGAGTGCATTTGTATTTTTGACCTCACTACACCAGGCTGACTTTGAACTCAGGTTGGTTCTCCTGCCTCAGCCTCCCCTGTGCTGGGCTCTTAGGCACACCCCACCACATCCAGCCATGTGATGAAGGGACATCAGTCCACGTTTCCGGTGGGGAGTGGGCACCTGCATGTAACACAGCCTGATTCTCTGTGTCTCCTTCCCCATCCTTGTCCTTGTTAACGGCTTCTCAGTGTTGTGTTTGGCAAAGCTGCAGCCCTCAGGTCTCGTGTGGTGGCCCTCCTGGAAGGGACAGGGCAGGGCAGGGAGGAGCTAGCGGGCGTCTGGAAGGATCAGTTTCCCTGTGGAAACACACTCTCTTAAGCCTGTCCTTCCCCGTGGAATGGAAGCGGAGAAGCCCTTTGGGGAGTCTTACTCACAAGCATTGCCAATTTTTGAAGCAGAACATTGCAGGTCCTACGTTTGGTGTTAGGTTTTGCTGGTTCCAGTTTCTACGGCAAAGAAATGAAAGAACTCAAATAATGAAGCTGTCTGTGTGGATTCCAGAGTAGGCTGCAGCTGCATGGGCAGGGGACTGGCCCCACGTGTTCCGCACAGCTGTAGCATGTGACACTGGTGTTGCCCTGGGCTCTGTTGTCTTTGTTTTCTGAGGCAGAGTCTGGGATGCCTGGTCTTAAGATGGTGGCCTCCTTTGCCTTGTTCCTGGCACTTCCTTCCTGTGACCCCAGCAGTAGAAGTAGATCATTTGAATAGCTGTAGAACTATTAAGGAAATAAAATTAATGATTAAAACACACCTTCTTCAAATAAGTTCCTATCCCCAGAGGGATTTGGTGGAAAAATATTGCTAGCATTTAAAGAGGAATTAAATCAGGTGTGGTGGCAACGAGGGAGGCTGAGACAGGAGGCTCACATTTTCAGGCCCAATTTGGACAACTTGGAGAGACCTGTCTCAAAATAAGAAATTTGAAAAGGGGCTGGGGATGTAGCTCAGTGTGAGAGCCCTGGGTTTAATCCCCATACTGGGGGAAAGATAATACCAATTCTGCACAATCTCTTGCAGGAAATGGAGAAAGGGGTTGCTGCTTAATTTTATGAACTTTATATTAGTTTGTGACCCCAGCGGTGGAGGAAGGGTGGCCGTGCACTGCTCTGTGTCCAGTTGCCCAGCAGTCAGAGCCTGGCTTTGGAATCCTGCACATTAAGCTTCCTGCTGGAACTGTGTCCTTGAGCGTGAAGCTTGGTGTTCTTCTTTTCTTTTTTTATTTTTTTGTCTTCTTGAGACGGTTTCGCTCTGTGGCTCAGCCTGGCTTTTGGCTTACTTTGTATCCCAGGCTGGTCTTGAAATCACAAGGATCTCGCTGCCTCAGCCTCCCAAGTGCTGGGATTACAGGCATGCAGCGCCGTGCCCAGCTGACATGCCTGACGTACAGAGTGTGTGCATCCCAGTCCTGAAGCCAGTGCCTCACTTTAGGAGGAGCCTGGCTGTATCTCTTCTAAGATCAGGCTGGGCAGGGTGCCCACCTTTCCGCCCTGGCACCAGCAGGGGTCCTCGCCAGCACAGACTGGGACACAACCTGAACCGTCGAGGATCTCTGTTTGCAGAGGACGTGATGGTGACCAGAGTGGACACCCAGAGCACTACGATGACACTAAGTGAAGTAGGTGGAGATAAAATTAGGACAAAAGCCAGCCTTTCCATCTGTCATAGAGCAAAAGTCCATTTGCAAGAGCAGCAGAGAAGATTGCTTAGGAACAAATCTAATGAGGAATGTGCAGACCTCCACAGTAAAATTTTAAGTCTCTAAAGACACAAAAGTCCAGTTAGATGTTTGGAAAGACATCACTCACTCTTAATGGGAGAGCTAAAGAAACATGTCAGTTTTCCCTAAGTGCCTTTATACATACAGGCAGCCCCAAATCAGCAAGTTATATTACAGAGTTAGGCAGTTGATTCTGAAATTTATATGGAAAAACATACAAAAGCAGCTAGGTCCAGTTACTTGGGAGGCTGAAGCAGGAGGATTGCTTGAGCCCATGAGTTATGAGGCCCTGTCCCAAAAGAAAAAAACAAAAAAAACAGGGAATCAAGCTGTGAGGAGGCGCTAACGTTGTAGCGTCAGCATCCGTTATTAAACCTTGGTGGCTCATGCTCTGTGGTTTAAGCATATGAATAAATAGGCCAGTTGCATAGAAAAGAGAATCCAAGATAGCCCCAAGTGTGTGTGGGAACTCCACGAGTGACACGTGTCACAGGTCACCAAGCAGAGATGGATCTTCTAAAAAATGTTGCCCTGACAACCAGGCAGCCATTGGAAAGTGATAAAATTAGGTCCACAGCTCCCTGCGCACGAATGAACTCCAGCCAGACTGGGCAGTGAAAAATGCAAGCATACACATGCTGGCAGAAAAAACAGATGATTTCCTGTCTCAGGAAAGTCTGTAGCTCAGACTGCAGGGGCAGTGAGAGGAAAGAGCGATGGATGCATTTGACTTTGTATAAATAAAAAGTTGCATGATGGGAAACACGAAAACTAAGCCACGAAAGCTGGTAGGAAGGATTTGCAGCATACACCTGGGCACGCTCTGGTTCTGTAAGGTCCCTTACATTTGAAGGGAGTGGCAAGAACAAGGACCAGCTCTGCTGGGTTCTGACATTTAGCCAAGAGCAACAATGCGTCCCACCTGCGAGGCTCAGGAGTGCCAGGCCCTTGCTTTAGTTGCCGGAGGGAATGAAATGGTCAGCCTTGCAGGGGGAGATTGGCCGTGCCTGAGAGACCACTCTCCCCTCCCATCCTTTCCTCGGAATCCACGCCGTGCAGGGCCAGGGCTACTCAGTGTGCATCCAGTGGAACTGCACAAGGTTGGCTGCATCTAAGAGGTGGCTGGAGGAGCAGAGAGCTGTGCCTGTGTCACCAGTGTGATGTGATTACCAGGCTGGCCCTAGTGCAGGACAGAGTGCAGTGGGCAGCGGAGTCTCCCTCATGTGGGAGTGGTGGGAAGAGCCGATCCTGCTCACCACGCCCTGGACTTTCTCCTCTGCCAGGCCACCGTGCCTTGGAGCCAGCTGGTTGTGGACTAAAACTTCCACAAACTGAGCTAAGATGGACCTTTTGTCTTTAATTAAAAAAAAAAGAAAAAAGTGGTGGGAAGAGAAGAGGATTGGCCTGCTCACTGGAAGGCTGAACCAGAGGTGGAAGGGGAAGTTACCAGCACGGGTGGCAGGGGTGGGGTGGAAAGAAGAGAGGAGAAATGGAGCAGAGGGATGGGTCCACGACCTTTATCTAAGGATTTGGGGGGGGGGTGAAACTCCCCTGTTTAGAATCATAGTGAAGCTGGGCATGGTGGTGCACACCTGTAATCTCAGCACTCGAGAGGCTGAGGCAGGAGGATCGTGTGTGTTCAGGACTAGCCTAACCTACAAACTGAGTTCAAAGCAACCTGAACTGGGGCTGTGGGCCTGGCAAGAGCCTGCTGTCCTCTGTGGCCATCTCAGCAGGTTGGCAGGGTAATCTGGCTCGACCTGCTGTGTCTGTGGCTGGGGACCGGTGGGGTGGGAGTCAGATGATGCCAGCTCAGGCCCAGGTGAGGAGTGGTCC